GCAGATTCGTAATCGAGAACGAAACCATTTACATTTTACAATTCGTTACGACGAGCAAGATAAATTTCGAAAATCCTTTATGATCATCGCCATTTCCCAAAGCACTTAATTCACTTCTCTCACATTCGTTTCATCATAATTTCAATCTTACTTTTTCTGCACTTGCACACAAAAAAAAATAATTACTTAATCAACTAGTTTCGAAATGCGAATCTTATTTCCTTTTTAATATCAATTAAAAAAATACATTTTTACTATTCAAATGTTTGCAAATTCTATAAACATATTGATGAAAAATTTACATTGCTTAAGATAAATTTATCTTTTTCATTTTCACTAGTTTCCTTTGTAAACTCGTATTAATACAAATACAGATTTTACTAATTTCAACATTCTTCAAGCTATTTCTTAATTTTCTTTAAAATTGAACGAAATTTTGCGTTTTTGTAAAATTTTATTAATTTTTTGATATTTTAAAATTTCAAAGAAATTTATTGAAAGTGCTTCATTCTGTAATTATAATAATCTTAAGTCTTCAATTCCACGTAAAATTTTGTACAATTTGTAATAATGAACACATTCCGGTTGTATTTGCACTTTCGTGCTGCAAAATTTGCGCAACGCCCAAATAAAAATCTGCAAAGATGCAGACATTATTTATCATAAATAACAATAATGCAATCGTAAAGAACGTAACGCAACCATGTAATTTCGTTATCCCCCAAAACGTAACCATGGCGACCTTTAATTTTCTTATTACCAATGCAACGCAACGCATCACCATGGTAACGAAATTGATGTCATCGATGATGACGGAATGAGCGATGGCGATCGTCGAAGACAAATTTATCGAGGCGATTTACAAGCGAATTGCATTATGTGTGAATTACTTGAGCGACGCAAAAACTGGGTCGATGTACATTTTTTTACAAATATCATCATGTTGTGCTGCTTCCTAACATGGAAGATTTTGTTCCTCGTAGTCTTTATAGTTCAGGTTATTAAACTACGTGTGCATCATCATCATCACTGTTGAGTATCTGCCCGGTCATCCTCGGGTAGAAGAAGAGGAGACCTAAAACAATCCCGATCCGCCGTCGCTCTTCAGATGTGTGTGAAAGTCCATCGCGCCGTACCGCTTGACCCATTGCCTTTAGCATCCTAACTATAGCATTTACTTCTCATACTCGCACTCGCGCACCAACATAAATCGTTCCCATTACTTCTTCAATATTTTATACATTACAAAACAACACAATACGGTCTCAACATTAGATGTAAAACAACAACTGAGATGGATGGAAAAGAGAAATTTTTGGTAAAGAAATTGACGAAATTATACAACTTTTTGTTATTGTTGTTATTTTTTTCTTACTTCTTTCTCTCTTTCGAAGTATACTTAAAATTCAATTTTAATGATTACTTTTTAGTAGTGTCTTAATTTTGTTATTTCAGTTCAGTTCTTTCTGATGTATCAGTCACCCGTCCAATTGCTTAACTTTTCAAACGTGAATATCCGCTTAATTAGTAGTGAATTAGTAAAGAGTACATTATGCATTTTTTTTTAATTTTTCAATTAAACAAAGTCTGCATCTGTCAAAAACTTGTCTATCATTTGTTTACAAATTATAAATTGAGTCACCCATTCAATTGCTTAACTTTTCAAATATAAAATGTTCGCTAAACACTACATTTAATTAGTAGAGAATTGGTAAAGAGTACATTCTTCAAAATTTCTATATTTTTCATTTGATCAAAGTGTGCATCTATCAAAAACTTGTCTATCATTTGTTTCCAAATTATAAATTGTGTCACCCATCCAATTGCTTAACTTTTCTAACGTGCATATCCGCTTAATTAGTAGAGAATTAGTAGAGAGTACATTATGCATTTTTTTTAATTTTTTCAATTAAACAAAGTCTGCATCTATCAAAAACTTGTCTATCATTTGTTTCCAAATTATAAATTGAGTCACCCATTCAATTGCTTAACTTTTCAAATGTAAAATGTTCGCTGAATACTATATTTAATTAGTAGAGAATTAGTAAAGAGTACATTATGCATTTTTTTAATTTTTCAATTAAACAAGGTCTGCATCTGTCAAAAACTTGTCTATCATTTGTTTACAAATTATAAATTGAGTCACCCATTCAATTGCTTAACTTTTCAAACGTGAATATCCGCTTAACGCTACATTTAATTAGTAAAGAATCAGTAAAGAGCACATTTTCGTTTTTTTTTAAATTTTTCAATTTAGCAAAGTGTGCATCTATCAAAAACTTGTCTATCATTTGTTTCCAAATTATAAATTGAGTCACCCGTTCAATTGCTTAACTTTTCAAATGTAAAATGTTTGCTAAACACTACATTTAATTAGTAGAGAATTGGTAAAGAGTACATTCTTCAAAATTTCTATATTTTTCATTTGAACAAAGTGTGCATCTATCAAAAGCTTGTCTATCATTTGTTTCCAAATTATAAATTGAATCACCCATTCAATTGCTTAACTTTTCAAATGTAAAATGTTTGCTAAACACTACATTTAATTAGTAGAGAATTAGTAAAGAGTACATTATGTATTTTTTTAATTTTTCAATTAAACAAAGTCTGCATCTGTCAAAAACTTGTCTATCATTTGTTTACAAATTATAAATTGAGTCACTCATTCAATTGCTTAATTTTTCAATTGTAAAATGTTCGCTAAACACTACATTTAATTAGTAGAGAATTGTCAAAAAAGTACGTTATTCAAAATTTCTATATTTTTCATTTGAACAAAGTGTGCATCTATCAAAAACTTGTCTATCATTTGTTTACAAATTATAAATTGAATCACCCGTTCAATTGCTTAACTTTTCAAATGTAAAATGTTCGCTAAACACTACATTTAATAAGTAGTGAATTAGTAAAGAGTACATTATGCATTTTTTTTTTAATTTTTCATTTGAACAAAGTCTGCATCTGTCAAAAGCTTGTCTATCATTTGTTTCCAAATTATAAATTGAATCACCCATTCAATTGCTTAACTTTTCAAATGTTAAATGTTCGCTAAATACTACATTTAATTAGTAGAGAATTGGTATAAAGTACATTATTCAAAATATCTATATTTTTCATTTGAACAAAGTGTGCATCTGTCAAAAACTTGTCTATATTTTGGTCCAAATTATAAATTGAGTCACCCATCCAATTGCTTAACTTTTCAAACGTGAATATCCGCTTAACGTTACATTTAATTAGTAGAGAATCAGTAAAAAGCACATTTTCATTTTTTTTTAATTTTTCAATTTAACAAAGTGTGCATCTGTCAAAAACTTGTCCATCATTTATTTCCAAATTATAAATTGAGTCACCCATCCAATTGCTTAACTTTTCAAACGTGAAATACTCGCCGAACGGCGTTCCATTTAATGTTGCATTACTTTAGTAGAGAGTGCGCGAATGTGCGAATCGATCGCAATCGGTGTTAATTTAGCCGAAGACTTCTTCCCACGCCTCGCGACGGAACTCCAGCTAAAACGTAACGCTGTTTCCGACGTGAATTCGCTTCCTACAACAGTTGATTCACTAAAGGAAACCGCTCGTTATAACACACACAGCACAATTAGGCAAAAAAATATCCGAAGAGATTTCACCGAATCGATGAACCCGAGTCGATGACTTCATTTTATGTTTACTAACAAAGCATTACAGATTCTTAAGAGTTTTTACAAAAAATCACAGCTTCTATTAGAAATAAGACAATTTTAGTTTTTCTGATAAATGACCTTTCGGTGAAATTATACAAACACGTGCGTTCTGATCTACAAATTTTGATAATTTAGTAAAATTCAATTTTAATCACACCAAACAAAACAAAAATCATACGCAAATTATGTTCATCAAGTGGAAAGAAAAATTCATCAAACATTTCGCAAAATGCAAACAGTGATTTTCCCTCAGCAACCGTTGACCTTTTTCGCGAGACTTTCTTCGCAATTTGCCGTACTATACGATTCCAGAAGATCGATTACAAATTCGTAAAAGCGTTGCGTTTCTTTCTTTCTCATCTTTCTCACATTTATCTGTCTCTCTCTTTTTATTCATTTCGGGTGGAAAAATAGGCGATGATAGGAAAATTAAAGAAAGCGCGCAATAGAAAGTGATGATGAGCGCTGCTAGGAGCTAGATAGGAACGTCGCTATTTTCATTAACGAAACAAATACACGACTCGATCGAAGTGGTTTGTTTTCACCGGATTCCTGATCATCCGAGAGACGCCGCTAAATCAACAAAAATGGAAAGAGACGGAAACGAAGAACGCGGAAATTTTTTTTCAAAAAAATTCAACGCTAAAATTTATCGCAAATTCCATACGGATTCGCACGTTACGAAGCGTTTTCCTTATGTTTGAGAAAAACAACAAGTTACGACTATTGATTTGTCTATAAAAAACGTTGAATTTTTAATTTATTTATCAGTTATTAATGTATTAGTAAGTCATTTAGAGGTGAATCTTATTGATTTGACTTTAATTTTTCATAATATCAATTTAAAGTGATTCTCAGAGTTGCATTACTGTGTGATAAATTGAGAGCGAGCGAGCGCTTTTCTCCTCGTTTGAATGATTAATTAAACTATTGTCTCTCGTCGAGCGCTCGTTCTTTGTGTACTTCCAATCCTGTAATGCTTCCCAGTTAGGTGAACCGAAAATCGCCTCTTTTCCATCGATTCCCACATCCTCCACCGACATCGCGAGCTGCTCTCCACACTTTCTCCACGGTTTCTCACAGGCAAGGTAAAGGTCACGCAAACAAATTTAATTGATGTTAACGCACTCCAAACTCTGTGCACTCCACACTCTTCATCATTATCTTTCCACCCCCCCTCCATTTCGGAGATGTCATTAACGTGTAATTTCTAATTTTACTGAGTAGCATAACCATGGAAACACAATTGCTATAGCAACTTGAAGGTTGTCAATGAAACTGCAGTTGTTTCTTATCTGTATACGTTTTTTATTTTTTATTATATTTATATTGTAAAGCGATTAATTAACTTATAAATACAACTCGAAGTCGATACGACTGGAGGAGTAGAAATTGGCGTCTTCGGAGCCGCATTTGCGCACCCAGACGCCGGTCTTGAAGTGGCCCTCCGACTGCCACTTGTTCATCTGCAGAGTGTCGAAGGGTCCTTCGATCTTCTCCTTGTCCTGCTCCCATTTGAACTCCCACATCAGCTCGGAACTGCTCGATTCGCCGGCCGTATTGGTCGTCGTCGTCGACGACTGCTCTTGCTCCGCCCCGTCAACGCCCACGATCTTGCCCTTCTCCTGCTTATCGAAGTCATCCGAATACATGTCCAACTCGGCTTCGACTATTTTCGCCTTCGATTTGTTCTTTTTGTCGTGAGCGTCCAACTGAAATTTCAAAATTAAGCGCGCATTCACAATAAATTTTCATAAAAATTCACCTTAAGACTGATTTGTTCAAAAGTTTCTTGATACACATCCATGTTTCCGAGCTGCGTCAGCACCTCGTTGGCCAACTCCGTGAGTTCGTTGACCTCCTTGCTGCTGCCCAAAGTCCCAGCCTTCTTCCTCTTCAACTTCTCCATCGTAGATAACTTACTGCTATCACCGCCGAGCCGTCGCAGCGCTTTATTTATGCTCTCCTTTGGTTTCAAATATGTTATGATCTTCTTGTACGTATCGATCTCATTGAAAGTATCCATCTCCTCCTCGGATTCGCTCTCATCTCCCAATCCCTTGGACTCCAGCGAATAAGGATTCGCCCCAGTCTTATCCTTCACCTTGTGCCAGTCTATATTATCCAACCAATTGTCCCGCACCTCCTTCTCATTGTTCCAAATGAAATGCCCGTCCCTATCAAAATGCCCCATCTCCATCTCCTCCTGCATATTAAAAGCCGTCATCCTGGTATCTCCATCCTGTCTAGCTGCTCCTTCCTCCTCACCTACAACAACAACAACAACAACATTAAGAATACAGCAAATTTCCATTAAATTACAACCTTCTATATCGTTCTCATCCAGAACGTTGTACTGATCATCGTTATCCTCCTCGTCCGAATCCAGAGTGTGTTTCTTAACATTATCATCGAACTTCACTTGTTTCGTCGCCCTGGATCCGCCCAGAGCTTCATCGATGTTGCGCTTCTTCGACATCCTCAACAAACAATTTGTTTTCAATGATTTACACAGATTGCCATAACTTCTTGGATTTTCGAAAATAAACACACAGGACGTCAGCCCTGATAACAGAATCCTAACCTTAAAAAGAAAACATATCATAAATACTCATAATTATTACTAAAAATTGTAGATTTACAATACAATTGGAAGAAAATCTATGCTAACAACAATATTTCAATACTAATAAACATAACAGATCGTGAAATAAATCATAATAAAAGTTTTCTTCATTCAAATTTCCCACATTTTTAAAAACCTCTATCGATCTTGTTATTATAAATATTCATTGCAGTTCACTGCCAAATCCAATTAGATTAATCCCATTAATTAATCAGAATTAGATTAATCAAACTTGCAACAATTTACAGCAAATTCGATTAAAAAAAATATTATTTCAACTTCTTTTCTAATCAATTTTACAACCATTTACAGTTTTTTAATAAGACACATTAATTTCAGTTATTTAACTAATTGGAAATGAATCTAATTGTCCTAAATTTCAAATATTTATTTCAAATTTAATCATCCGCCAGACGTCGCTACGATCTTCTATATACTATAGGCAACTTAATTTCCACTCACATTGTAACCTCAAATTCAACCAAAAAAGTATTTATAATAGAAACTGAGTAACAAATTTGAATTAAACTTTATCGTATGTAATATAATTGAATTAATTTTGTTTTTAGGATAATGTCGTTCCTATTAAATAGCCTGGCTAATGCAGCTAGGACTGCTCTGATGAGGGTATCAGTGACAAGTCCACTTGCGAACAGCGGTTTGTTGGTTCCTCAAGCTACAAATGTCATGCAATCAGCTGGATTCAAAGTTAAGGGTAAACTGAAGAAACGTTGCAAGGACTGCTACTTTGTGATGAGGGAGAAACGATTGTTTGTTATCTGCGATACGCACAGGAGACACAAGCAGATGTCCATGGTGCCTGACGAGAGGAACACCTGGATGTTGAGTCACGCCACTCAGGGCAAATTCAGATCTTGGTAGTGGAAATGTATTTAAATTCGATTTAGTTGTGTAATTAGTTTCATCAAATACAAATTTTATTAAGTATTCAAAATGTTTCATTTCTAAAACTATATATTTATATTAAATCCAATTTGATATACTAAGACTTCTAGATAAACCTAATACTAAATCTTATTGGATTATTAATCTTCATTTTCTATAACATCTGCAACCCCCTTATCCTCTTCCACTTGATTGTTGTTGTTCAAATTATTAACGAATAGAGTGGATAGTTTCGCTATTGAACCTAAGGCTTTGAATCTGGTTTGAGCCCTCATCTTCTCCACCTTCTTGCACCACTGAAAACCAATCAATTTAAGCGTGAATACAAATTTAGCGTTTGAGAAGTTGGCGAAACTGATTTTATCCTTTGAGTTGGTAACGATTGTTTAAAGTTAAATTTCCAAGTTAAATTGTTGATTAATTTTACTTGATCTATGTTACAATTAATTAGTGTTGCGGTGCGCACTTCTTGCTGATCTCAATGTAAGTATTATTTTGAGTATTTTTAATGTTGGATAAGCACGTTTTTCTTTAGAATCTTATAAGATATTAAATTTTTAAACAAAAGATATCGGTGATGGTAATACGTACCTCTTCATCCCTTGAAGGCATTTCCGCTAAATACTTCACCATATCATCTTTAGATGGATCCAGGATCGCTAATACAGAGACGCAACCGTCTACCGTTCCCAATACCAAAGCCCTTCCATCCTCGGTACTTTCGACTGCGGATAATTCTGCCTGGCATCGGTAATTCGCAATCATTTCAGCGTCCGAGGTTCTGTTTGAAAAGTTGCGTTAAAAGCCTTGTTCGTTAAGGTTTTTTTTTTTATGGGAAACTCACCTGAAGACCCTTAAAGTTTTCTTACCGCTGTGATAATACAAGACGTACTCGTCGGCTTTCGTGAACATGCATATGATGGAAAACACGCCTTCGGCTACTTTCGGTATGAAGGTTTTAACTGTTTGCCCTTTCTTCAGTTCGATCAACTCCAAACCGCCTCTAAATAAGCATTTTTTTTTTTCAGTTATGTAATATAAATTATGTTATTGTTTACCTGGAAGGAGCGAAGAGTCCGAATTTACCATCGGTGGTGCAAATTCCTCCCCATTTCGGTACAGTTCGAATATGCTTCTTAGTCCTTATATCGATGATTGCGCATTTGTCTGGAGCCACGGCTCCAATCAAATAGCCCTTGTGAGGCATTGCGATCAGAGATTGAAGCTCCTGAGGATCAAAATAAGTTAAATTTGCAGAAGAAATTTCGTTGATAGACTAACCCTGATCGAGCAATGCTTGAGGCCGATCTTGTGCACTAAACTACCGTTCTTAGCGCTGAAAACTATAACGCAATCCCTGTTAGTCTTGTCGTTACCAGCTACCACTATGTTCTGTCCATCAGAAGTTATGACCGCCTTCTTAAAAGGTACCCCAGTCACGCTCTTTATAGCATAATCAAATGAGTATTCCAATTCGCCGTCTGCAAATTCAATCGAACTAATTATAGTATTTGTTACAGTGTTCATTTGTACCTGGGATGTGGCGGACGCAAGCAGTGGCTGTAGTTTTCACCAAATCAGTGCCCGAAGGATTGGTCGGCTTTGAAATACTCAAAACTTTGGAGCCTTCGTCCATCAAAGTCAACTGCTTTATCCCGATTTGCTCCTCCTTGAACACCACTAATTGAGTCAAACGGTTCCAGAACAAGATGTTACCAGATTCGGCAGAAATGATGAATCTGCAATTCAGTTAATTACTTCCTAGGATTGATTGAAAGAATCGGTGAGTTGTTTACTTTCCATCAGGAGTTACCAACGCGTGGGTAACTATGGCGCCTAAAGGACTGTCCGCCAATTTGGCCAAAAGTTTGCCGATCCTCAAATCCCAAACTCCGATGCAATTCCTCGTTGCTGTCACAGCTAAACTCAAATCGTTTGATAAACTGGAGAAAAAAAATAATTAGGATACAATCTAATTGTGTAAATGTAATAACCTAATTGAATCGACTTGCAGTTCGTGACGATCAATCACGTGGACCTGCTCGAAGATGTTGTTGATGTTCCACACTTTAACAGTTCGATCTATGCTGGAAGTGACTATGCTGTTCCAGTGGCCGATGGTTAAAGGTTCCAAATGGATGATTCGACCAAAATGCGCGTCCAAAACTTTCATCAACTTACCAGTCTTCACGCTCCACACGTACAGATTCTTCCTGCAATCAAATAACTGTAGGATCGACAATAATTTGATAAGTATGAATTATACCTAACACCAGCAATTGCGTAATTCTTGTGCGCGCTCAAGACAATAGAATTGGAATGCAACATTTTCGTCGTGATATTCCTTGTGGCGTAAGGAAGACTTAAAGCAACAGCACCATCACTAATTTTCTCCTCTTCATTCAGATCCCAGATGATGAACCCATTACTCGTCGTGGCTAAAGTAAACCAGTTAAAATTACTCTTCAAGTAATCAAACAAATGATTACCCAAAAGGACGCAATCATCTTTATCCAGACGCAATTGAAGAACGACTTCAGTGTTATCGGTGGATGATCTAGGTAACTCAATTTCTTGAATCCAGCGCATTTCCTCAATATTTTTTGTATATTTCGTAACAGAATGATGGTCGTTATTCGTGCAGGCGTACAGAGCTTTCCGGTTCTTCGTGAAGACGATTCCGCTGTAGAGGAGGATTGGTGAGTAAAATGTTGGTTGGAGGCGCCGGGCATCGATCCCGGTACCTCTCGCATGCTAAGCGAGCGCTCTACCATCTGAGCTACGCCCCCTTCTTATATAATTATATAGTTTTCTGAAGAAGCATTTAGCAAATTGCTGGTATCTAATAATAATTTATGAAGCTGCAATAACGTGAAGAAAATTTTGGTATATTAAAAGTTGGTCCAGATAAATAATGCTATTATACTGTATAGGGGGCGTAGCTCAGATGGTAGAGCGCTCGCTTAGCATGCGAGAGGTACCGGGATCGATGCCCGGCGCCTCCAATTTTTATTAAAATCTCATCGATTACCTATGGTAATCCAATGGTTCCATAGCCATACCATCCACGTAAGTGTGTAAGACCATGCGGTCATCATCTATATTCCCGGACCAGTAGATGATGTAGTAATTGGTTTTATCGGCGAATTCCATAACTGCAAGTCAACCCAATTAATAATCTATTTTTTTTACTTGAATTGATTGAGCATTACATAAAATGCGCCATTGGTTTTGATCGCAAGCACTCTCGTACCTCTCCAAGAGTTGACCTCGCATATCGTATTCCACCCAAGCACTAGTACCATAAATATACAAGTTATGGTTTAGTAGATGAACACCTACAACTTCGTTGTCATCAGGTAACGGATTAGCGATGGATATAAACTCGCTGGTCAGCATGTTCAATAATATTGTTTCATTGTTATTGGTGTAAGCTGCGGCCCATTTGTTGTCCGGACTCAAGACCAATTGCTGCATGATACCTTCGATGTTCGGATTGACATCCCTCGTCAAATCGCTGGTGGATAGATCCCAAGTTATGAATCGATTCGAGATGGACACAACGTATCTGTAATCCGTTGTCAAGCAGAATCCGAAAACTGCGAATTGATGCCCTTCCAAAGAATACTACAATCCAATTAATTTCAATCCTCAGGACATTATTTAACTTACCTTGAGAGGTCCACCGGGCGTATGCAAACAATGGTACAAAGGCATCAAAGCGCATTGATTGGGACCTTTGATGTCGCAATCGTTGAGCAACATTTTTATGTTCGCGTTTGGTCCAACCTCTGGAAGAAGTCTACCTACCAGTTGAGGAGCCAACATGTTTGGGTATTGTCCCAGAACAGCTCCGCCGAGCCTCAAAGCGTCAGCTACAAGCATCAATTCCCTAAAAGCAGAATTCGTGAGTTGCAAAAGAATTTTTGTAAACATTAATATTACACCTTCTACTATCTTTATTTTCTATGTGACTGGAAGCGTCTTCGTAATCGGAGAGCAAAGCTTGCAGAGGACAAGAGGATAGTTTCGCGTGGAGCCACTCGTAGTTGAAGAGGACGTTTTCGTACAGATCGGTGTATCTTTTGGAACGTACCAAATGGTAAGGAAGTTCTCCAAACTAATTACATTTATATCAATATTTATCATTTACATATATTTCTTCAGCTTACGCACTTTTCGTAGATTATACCTAGTGACCTTTCCGTCTTTTCCGTAGAAAACCAACGGCTGAACCGGCACTTTCCTATCGGCTATTCCCTCTTTATCAGCCAAATTAAAACGATGCCTTTGTATCTCCGTGTACTTGAAGGGCTTCGGTTTACCGCCGCCCCAAATTCCCAAGTAATAATCGGCGATCATTGAGTGAAAATACAAAGCCATATTTTGGTTCTTGAAATATCGTTCCTTTGCCGTATCTCGAAATTGCCTAAACGATTAGCGATCTTAATATGTGATTATTATTTATATAATTTGTAGATTTTGTACCTGTGATACCAATTCATGACGCTTACACCATCAGCTTCCCTCTCTGAAAGGTAATTGGGTAAATCGTTGCGGATTCGCGTCCAAAGCAGCGGAGGAATCCTCCTAACAGGAGGCATGTGGTATTGGTAAACGTCGTCCAAGACTTTATCGTCCAAAGAGATTAGATCCTCCAATTCGGATTCGGAGAGACCGCTTTTCGCTGCTGTAATATACGCCAATCCGTGGAAAACCAAGATTCTTCCGTGCTGAGGATGACCAAAAGATGTTATTGGTAATTGCAATAGTTTATATTGATTAATTGAAAGACCTGTTTTTCGATTCGCTCGAACAGCATCATGATTGAATCCATGACGGTCGAAGCCAGGTGCGTGTCCTGGGATTTCGTGTAGCTGCGCCATCGGCAGATCTCCGCAAACACCAGTTTCACGAAGATCGGCAAAGAACACTTCTCTATGGCGTTGGAAACCAGCCTCCACTGGTAATTGGTGAGATCTCTGCATGCAGTTTTCATCCACATCCTGATAACAAATCAACAGTTTTGTAGCTGTAGTCACAATTTTGTGTTTGGATTTGATTACTTGATGACTTGCATCGCAAGTTCTTCGCCCAAAGGCGTGACGTCCAAGAAGTTTTCGTCAACGTCGATCATCTTCCTTAAAATGTGGTATTCCCTCGATACCTCCGGATTGGTTTCTTCGCAAGCGCACGTCACTATAATCTGTAAGTACAGCATTTAAATAAGTCGAGATGATATTAAGGTTAATATTAACTTTGCAGTGCTGTGGAAGCCTCGTTGGTAACCAGGAGACTTTGTTTCCGGTTCCGGTCCCGGTCAGCTGATCCACAGAGTCCAGAAAGAAGAATAAAGGTTGGTCTTTCGTAGCCATGGTGAGCATCTGCTTGAAATGGGCGGTCAATGGGACCAAATCATCGGGAATCGTTTCGAAAGGAATCATGAAGTTGTAGGAGATCTGCTGGCATATAGAAATCAGGGTAGGTGTTAAAGCGCTGGAATCGGGGGTCGTCCCTAAGAAGCGCACGATGCTCAACGGTTTCGAATCCTTGAACCATCCGAAATACGTGGACATTGCGGCACTTTTCGCCAACATCGAGGTTTTGCCGCAACCGCCTTCACCGTAAAGCACGAACGGCTTTTCGTCATCGCCAATCATGTACTGGTGGATCCTCTCCAAATCATCGTCGCGTCCGTAAAAGACCTTAACAGAATTGTTGCAAGCGTGAAGATGTTGGAGAATCTCCGTGACAATTTGGCCTTGAGCGCTCGAATCCTCCTTCCTCATCGCTCTATCCACCAGCTTAATGATGTTCTTGTAGAAGTGCGTGATGAAGTGCTTCAAATACTCCCCGTGCGTTTCGTTATCGAGACCCTCGCGTCCGATCCACTCCACGTTGTACTTCTGCATGTTGCTGGTCTCGATCTTATCAGGAAGCCGCTCATCTCGGAGATTTCCCAACAACTTTGCCGATTCCACGTCCAAACTTCTGTTGATAACGTCGACGAAAAGCGAAGCCTTCTTGAGATTCTGCAGGTTGATGTTGTTGATGTACCTGACGTAAGCCAAGCAGTGATTCTTCGTGTTACGCACGCTCAATATCCCATTAATCACTTCCCTTTCAGTCACTGCAAAATACTTTAAAATATCATCCACAAATAATATCTACTAATTAATTACCGGACATGAAATAGTTGTGCATTTCATCGGCGCTCATCTTTCCCTGCTGATAAAGAGCGCTCGAGGCTTTGCGGAACATCTTCTGGAACTTCCCCAAGGTGTCCCACCAGACCGCTTGATCTTCGGCTTGAAGTTTTGGGATGCGCTAAAACCACAAGTATGAAGAAGAAAAAAAGCATTTTCATTTCAAGTAAGTTGAGAATACTTTGTTGTTGAAGTTTGTTAAAATCGAGGAGATGGGTTGAAGCACGGAGATCGGAGGAACGGCGTTGCTGTCTTTGCGGTACCAAGTATCAATCAACGTTGGGTCGCCACCAGTTGCAGCCAATTCATCTCTGATCATCTGCAGTTCAGACGACAGGATGTAAGTGGGTATAGGTCTGTATCCGTACTTTTGCCCCAAGAATACCTTAGAAACATAAAATCTGCATTTTGAACTTTGTGAATTTTCAAAATGTATTTACAACGAAGTTCGGGCCCATGGAGAGTCGCTGGCAATTCTGGATTTCCTTCATGCAGAGTTCTGTTGTCATGTGGTCATCGGTGGCTTCGTCTCGGACACCCCAACGCATATCGACCACCTGCAAGAGGAGGAGGAGAAGGATGAAAATAAACGGGTATCGATTTCTTGCACCTTTCGTGTTCGCAGCATTTGGGTTAAACAAAGTTCGGTACCACCCTCCCGCCTGGTGCTGATAATCAAGGTCAGTGCAATCACCGTTCTATACAAACCCCAACAACGCAAAAGAGCGAATTTGATCCAAATCCATTTATTATGCACTCTAATAACTGCGCGCCTCTTTTTTTTACCTGAAATTCCAAACCGTGCTTCTCCCTGCAGTAGTCTTTGATTTTGGGGTAGCATTTTGCCATCAGCGTGTTTCTTTCCATAGTGGTATCTTCACAGAAGAAAAGAAATTTTTAATTATTTGCTTCAGTTAAGACAAATTTCAGATATATTCTTGAATTACCTGTGAACGTGGAACTGGTGAAGATCCTGACGATCTTCGAACTCACCGGAGGCAGATTCTCCAACGAACCTGCGAATATCGTGTCCACGATTCGATCATCCATGGTAAGTGTTTACTTCTTTTTTCTAACTGAATTATATAAGAATTAGTTGAAAAAAGCGAGACATCTCGTGCGGTTATCCACTTTGTTGTCGTAAGGTTGATTTACAACTGGTGTAAGCTTGTGCTTTCCGCACCAATTTATACCTGCTCCAAACATTTCGCACGCTCGATAACTATTTTTACCAGCAAACTTTAACCAAAAGAAAAATCAATCTTCTCATAATCATCACTGACTCACCCTGCATGTCAAATAGCAAGATATAAATTGGGAAATGAAACAAAGCGAATAGTAAAAAAAAATTAGTAATGTATCTTTATTGTTATAGATAAAAAAACAGAAAACATAAATAAGTTAAAACAATGCCCAACTTATGAACTTATCATTCTTGTGTTGGATTTGAAGAGGTGTCTCTGTACTCGTAGTTCAAAAACGCTTGGAACTCGATTAGAATACTGACGAATGTTTCGCCCTTGCCGCAGGCGTACAGATCGCTGAGAGTGATGCGATCCGGATTTTTCGGTTTGACCATATCGAAGAGTTCGTCCTTGAAGTCCTCGAAGATGACCAGATCCGCGTCCCTGAGCTGCTCCTGGATGGCGCGGAAGAAGTAGTTGATGGTGAAGGCGTCCAAATACCCGGAATCGTTCAAATCGAGTATTTTGAAGAGGAATGCCAGAGCTTGTGGCTCGCTGCGATTCTCCAAAGCCAACACCAAATCCAAGTAAGTCTTATAATCCATTTCCCCTTTGTAGGTCAAGCAAGTTTGGAAGACGCGTTCCAGGAAGGGCTGCGTCAACGTCCCCGTTCCGTACCTGGACAACTCCTCAAGACTGAGCATTCCGTTATGATCCTTGTCCAAGTTTAAGTAATTTCCGTACACGCTCAACGCTGAGGGAGCACTGAACCAATTCGATTCTGATCTCTCAATTCCAACTTCATTTTGCCGCAGCTCTAAGAGATCATCCAAAAAGGAGCAGGCCAAAACGTCGAGGATGCGAACACGACCCGCTCTCAGTTTATCCAGGAAGAACATGAATTTCCTGACCACAGTGCACACGTAGAAGCTGTGAAAAGACTTCTCCAAACCCTCGAGTTGCGGTAGAACAGGTAACAGCTCCGAAATGTAATTCTCCAATTCGGCTTCGCGCAAATACCCGAGACCCGTCGTGTCGTACAGCGAAAGCCCGACCCGCGTCTGCTTCAACCAGACCTTCCTCATTATGTAATTGAATAAGGATATGGTGGAGACGCGACCTTGCGGATCGTTCTCGTGAAGCTTAGCGAAAACGTTGGCAGTCAAATACAGCTTCACCTTTGGATCTAAAACCAAAGTGAAATTAAACAAATTGTTTCGCAAATCCCATTCGCAAATTTACCAGCCAATTCAACAACTTTCTTGAAATTAGCGTAAGTGATCATGTGGTCATCCGGTGAAGTCTGATGCTCATCCAGCAAAGCCCAAAGAGCTTTAAGTTCAGCATTATCCAACAGCTGGCGGCTCTTCCTATCCAAGAAACTTGATCTTGTCTCCTCCCTGAGCTTCTGCCGCAAAGGTTCATTATCCCTAGGCAATCTGTAGAAGAATCTCGGAATGCTCGGCTTCGTCTCCTCGCTCAAATCCACACCATACTCCTTCAAATGCAGCTTGTACAGATCATCCTCCATCTCCAGCAACTCATCATCAGGTATTTCTGCAAATTATATATCATTCGTTAATCACAGTTAAAACGATTATTCATTACAAATACTTTTCGTTTTCTCCAATTTCTTGCGCAGCAAACTTTCCAGATCCATCCTCGCCGAAATCGAGCACAAAAACAAAATAAACAGAGAAACGTCAGGCGATTTGAACTGAACTGTTGATGATGGTTTGCGCACCAGCGTGAAGTTTCATCTTCACAAAACCCTTAAGGGCAAATGTTAATGATTTCGCAATTAACTCAACATTTCTATCTCATTACCTTTGAAACCGATTCATATATTATTGTTAATTATTCTTTTTTTTATAATTGTATATTTTTTTTCATAGGATTTTGCATTTTGCGATGAGCGTGAAGTTGCAGCGTGAAGAAAATTTCGGAATTTTCTTCAGTCAGTCACATCCAGTAAGTAATGTGTGTGTGCGGTGGTTTTGATTCCTTTAAACGCTAAATAGAAACATTGTTTTATTGACGAAGATGAGCGATTCATTAAACTAAAGTAAGTACGTGGATCCGTGCCGGTTTTCGCTGAGAATTATCCGCAACTTGCGCCGATACTCGCGTCCACACAAAACCTTAACCTACAATCTTAAACAGCATATAAACAAAAACTTGACTGTGTGCATTTGTTTTGGAGAAACATTATGTGTTTGTCTAACAATACATTTAAATACGTGATTAACGATGAACGTTCTCTGCACGTCTGGAGTGAGTGAATGTCTCAAGTGTTCACGAAAGACTTGTGAAATGTATTGAGGCAACTAATGTGCGATGGATTGTTTTTTCAGATTATGAGTTAAGCACAATTTAGGATGATGAAAACAAATATGCAGGCTACGACGTCGGCGATGAGCACTGTGGACTCGTCGACGGCGCAGATGAACAAGTTCCGCAGCTACATCAACATGCTAGTCGATCCTGCCTACAAGGATGACATTAAACTGAAGGCAATACAGGAGATCAGCGAGAACTTTGAGGTTCATATATTAATATATATATATAAATGATAATCACATTACATTCTAATTAACCAAAATTTCAGACTATACTATCATCTAGCATGTATGCTAGTTTCCTGGAACATTCAATTAAAATTTTCCTATCGATTCTGCAAGAAGGTGAACCTCACTTTATTGCTGAGTACAATATACAGCAGGTAATTATTTTCATTTAACTGATAAATACTTAGTTGATAATGTTTTATTTGTAGGTACGAAAACTGATTTTGGAGATTTTACATAGGCTACCTACAAACGATCTCTTAAAACCCTACGTGAAACCTATAGTTTCATTAACATTGAAATTATTGGAGATAGACAATGAGGAGAATGTCCTTGTATGTTTGAAAATTATCATCGAGCTACATAAAATGTATAGGCCAGCATATAATTCTGAGGTTAGTAACAATAATTTAATAATTGCTCGATCAAATAATGATTGATTAATTAAACTTGTGTGTGTTTTCAGATTCATTATTTTTTACAATTCGTGAAGACAATTTACTCGGAGCTTCCGACTCACATGAGCGAGATATTCGAGCCTCGGGCTCCGATCAAAGTAAAGGATCTTGCCGAGCTGAACATTGATGAACTTTTAAAAGAAACATTCACAATCACCTCGATCCAAACGGAGAAGAGGAACAATGATCAAACATTAATTTCGGTAAGAATCGGAAAGTTTTTTCTTTTGCATTCAATTGCTTAACTTTTGTTTTATGCGCAGTATAACTTGATACCTAAAGCGGTGCTATCACTGAAAGTTATCCAAGAGTTGCCGATCATCGTGGTATTGATGTACCAGCTATATAAGCAGAACGTTCATCAAGACGTCAGCGATTTCATTCCTCTAATCATGAAGACCATCGTGTTACAACCGTCGCCGCAACAGCGGTAAGTAATTCCTATTCGATTTGCTTAAATGCAGTTGATGATTGTAATTTTTCCAGGCAAGCGGAATCATTCAATAAGGAGATATTTGTTGATTTCATGGGAGCCCAGATTAAGACGTTGTCGTTCCTTGCTTACATCATTAAGATCTATCAGGAAGGCGTGGCCACCCATTCTTCGATGCTCGTGCAGGGTATCCTGGGATTGCTCACGCTGTGCCCAATGGAGGTCGCCCACCTCAGGAAGGAGTTGTTGATTGCATCAAGGCATATTCTTGCGACCGACCTAAGAAATAGTAAGTGATTGATGTTATTAAGTTACTTTTACAATATTTTCTATTCGCGTTATGATCATAAATCATTTGGGACAGCCATAATTATCATTTCCATGACAACATAAACATTAAACAAGAGTTTGTTTACAAAACACCAAAATTTGAAACACTTGTGAATAAGTTAATCTTAAGTTTTAAAACTCGTAGAGTGAGATTTACCAGGTAATTAAAATAATCTTTTTCATTTCTTATCGGACAGTTAACATTGAAAATATTTATTTAAAACAAATCTTTACATTATCAGATAGTTAAAGCAGATGAAAATAGACCTAAAGTTTTAGAAATGTTTAGTTAAGTGAGCAATTCTAATTATTGTTTTATCTTGTATTTTGAATTAATGGTTTGATGTTGGATGTTTATTATTTGTGAGCTAATAATTGGATTTGTGTATTTTGTATAGAATTTGTGCCTCAAATGGAGAAGCTATTTGATGAGCAGGTCCTTCTTGGGAAAGGCTGGACAACACACGAATCTCTAAGGCCGCTGGCCTATTCAACACTAGCCGATTTGGTGCATCACGTAAGGCAACAGTTGAACTTGGCCGACATCGCCAGGGCTGTCCACCTCTTCGGAAAGATCGTCCACGACGATAGTTTAGCAACTACGTAATACCCGCCAAAAAGTTAAAAATTTAATGCTTTACTGATGTTGACCATGTTTTTGCAGAATTCAAACCATGTCTTGCAAGTTGCTTCTCAATCTCGTGGAATGCATTCGTAAGAAGGCAGAAATCGAGAACAGTTCTGAGGGCAGAGGTTTGCTGATGAGAATGCTGGAAGTGTTTGTTTTAAAGTTCAAGACGATAGCCAAAATTCAGTTACCTAAAATGACGGAGAAATGGTATTTAAAGTATCATTCTAATTGGATTTGTTTCTTTATTGTGTTTTGGTGTTTTAGTAAACAACAAGCGGCGAATCCGCAACCTTCAAACGGAATCGACGGAGAGGGTAAGTTGGAGAGTCTGGAGACTGTGCTTTCGACGCAGAAGGAGGAGAAGTCCAAATTTGGGTTTCCTCAACCGACTAACTATAACGTTTCGGAATATAGGAGTTTGGTTAAAACTTTGGTTTGTGGTGTTAAAACTATCACATGGGGGTGTTCAGCATGCAAGGTAATGCGAGTTTCTTGTTAAGTAGTTTAGTACTTTGGTGAATTTACTAATTTGCGTGCAAATATAACAGATTGGAATTAATCAACCTCCGGTTGGTGCGAAGCAGTTTCAACCGCATGAGACGCTGGTCTTCATACGACTGGTGAAATGGGCGTTGAAGGCATTGGACATTTACACGTTGGCAGTTGGAGGTCCTCCTGTTTCCGGTCCGGCGCGTCTGAATCAGCAGAACGTTCGCAACAAGGAGGAGAAAGAAGTCTTGGAGCATTTCAGTAGTGTTGTAAGTGTGCAAACAAATTTCACAATACTTTACGTTTTTTCTTAATTTTACTTAAACGCTTTAGTTCTCAATGATGCATCCGCAAACATTCCACGAGATATTCTCGACGACGATTGAGTATGTTGTAGAGCGCGTATATAAAAATGCCACATTGCAAATTGTTCCCAACACCTTGCTTGCCAATCCAACCACCAGTCCAATATTTGCGACTGTTCTCGTTGAGTACCTTTTGGAGCGGATGGAAGAGATGGGATCCAACCAGGATAGGAGTAATCTATACTTAAAGCTCTTCAAATTGGTGTTCGGTAGTGTGAGTTTGTTCCCTCAAGAGAATGAGAATATGTTGAGGCCGCACCTGCATCGCATTGTTAATCGGTGAGTTGTTCCGTTCTTTAACCGTATTGATGATGATATATCAGGAATCTGCATCGATGCTTAAAATTTATATTCGAATTACAGATCCATGGAGCTGGCGATGGTCGCTAAAGAGCCGTACAACTATTTCCTGCTGCTTCGCGCCCTGTTCAGGTCGATAGGTGGCGGTAGTCACGATCTACTTTATCAAGAGTTCCTACCGCTGCTACCCAATCTTCTCGAGGGCTTAAATCGATTACAGAGCGGCCTGCACAAGCAGCACATGAAAGATCTCTTTGTCGAACTATGCTTAACAGTTCCTGTTCGCTTGAGCTCACTACTTCCGTACTTACCAATGTTGATGGATCCTCTAGTTTCAGCATTAAACGGATCTCACGCTCTCATCAGCCAGGTATATTTTCAAAAAACAAGCAATTGAAATTATTAATTCATCCAATTATTTAATTATTCAGGGTTTGAGAACATTGGAATTGTGCGTGGACAATCTCCAACATGATTTCCTATATGAGCATATTCAACCCGTCAGGGCTGACTTAATGCAAGCGCTCTGGAGAACACTCCGCAATAATGACCAGGTGGCACAAGTTGCTTTCAAGGTATTGGGCAAATTTGGAGGTGGCAATAGGAAAATGATGATCGAACCGCAGAAACTGGAGTACGTCGACACCGATTACGAACCTCCGGCGATTCTGGCGCAGTTTCATGATCACACGCAGCAGGTCGAGTTTCCTGTGGAGAAGGTGATCGAAACTGCTTTTAATGCTTTGAAGCATAGCAGCACCGATTCTTACTATAGGAAGCAAGCCTGGGAGGTGATCTACTGTTATTTGACCGCGTCTCTAAACTTGAACGACGATAGGAGCACGATGCTCAATCTGTTCATAAACTACAGCGTACAGTTCACAGATGAAAATAATATACCACATATCAAGGGCTCTTCTTATAAGAGTATTAATAAGCAGGCCAGGGATACGCATCAAACTGCATTAATTGGTAAACTCTTTTTTTTTGTGTCCCAATTATTGTTTATAATTATATTTTTTGTTTGTTTGCTTGCTTGCAGGGATGGTTGTTGCTGCAGCTATTAAAGAACTAAGTCAACAAGTGTTAAGTACTCTTGTCAATATCGTTCAGCATTATACGATCATAGCCGTCGCGCAACAAGCAGGCCCTTTCGCAATAACCCCAAGGTAACATTTATAATATATTTCCTAATCTTGTTGTATTAACATTGCTTATATTTTTAGACCGAATGAGCAAGTCACGTTGGATCCGCTTGTTCTGGTGGATGCATTGGCAGTGATCATGGGTCATGAAGAAAAGGAGTTGATCAAACCAGGTCGTGTGGCCTTGATCATCATGTTGAATACAGCAACACATTTGCTGGGAAGCAAGGATCTAGCATGCCGTTTACCTCTGATAGAATACATGGCGGAAAAGATGTGCGGTCTTTGCTACGAACGAGCTTGGTACGCCAAACTTGGTGGTTGTCATGCGATTCAGTTCATGGTGGAGCGGTGCGCCCGTAAATGGGTCTACGAGCACATGTTCACATTCCTGAAAGCGCTTCTCTTCGTGATGATGGATCTCACCGGGGAGGTGTCCAGTGGCGCTCTGGATATGGCAAAAAACAATCTGGAAAAGATGTTGATAGTGCTCGTGACGCCTCCACCGGAGAACGCAGATAAACTGACCAGGGACGTACAGATCAAAGCCCTCTGCAAAGTCACCCATGAGTTGGTCAGATTGGTCACCAGCTCGCACACGATGGTAAGAGAGCAGGCGATGCAATCTCTGAAGCTTATGGCGGAGAAGCAGAATAAAACGGTGACGGCAGTGATGGAGCCGTTTAGGGAGGTTTTGGTTGACATGGTGCCGCCCAAGAAGCACCTACTCAAACATCAGCCGGCAATAGCGCAGATGGGGCTTATGGACGGAAATATGTTTTGCACCACGCTCAACCCTCGTCTCTTCACAATCGATATGAGTATAAAAGAGCACAACATGTTCATCTTGGACTTGATCTCCTTGTGCAGCACCGAGGATGCGAAATTATCGAACCTCTCGTGTTACAAGAACATCACTGACTTCACACCATTGCGTAAGAGCGCTTTGAGGGTGTTAGCGGCGTGTCACTATTTGGAAGCAGATGTGCGCGAGAACATCTTCAAAGTCCTCTACAAAACTTTGGAGAAGCCGAACGCTGAACTGCAGGAGATGGCGTTCGAGTGCATGAAGAGCTTCATAGCTGGGTACCAAGTTGAGAAGGAGTTTATCCACAATACAATGCGTCCCCTGCTGATGACGCTCAGAGACGTGAAGACCTTAACTCTAAACAGTGTCAAAATGCTGTCGTATCTCACGCAACTGTTCCCTAACGTTTTCAATGAGAAACTCTGTGATCAGCTCATCGAAATCCTGATGCAATTACTGGAGAACCTGGTAATAAATAATAAGAATCAAGCGGACTCCACGGGTATTTCAAAGAAAGGAGAGGAGGAGCAGAAGATCGTCACGGTTATAAGTTTCTTCTATCAAACGCCTTCGGCATCATCGAAATTCATCAAGCAACTCTGTCAATTGGTGCTTCAAGCAGAGCATGCGATGCTTATCGAAGCCAGCTCCCCATTCAGGGAGACTTTGATGAAATTCCTGCTGCGATACCCTATTGAGAGTCTGGACTTATTTATGGATGATGGCCATATCAAGGATAAACAGTACAGTAGATATTTGGAATATCTAATTCAGCATCAGGATGGGAAACCGTTCAGGGATTACATCCAAACTCAGATGGTGAAGAGGTTGATCACTCTCGCGCTGGCCAATACACACGTGAACCCGCTGATCAGCGAGACGGATCGCAACGAGATGCAGTACCAGGCCATCAGGCTTATTTACTTGTTGATCAGGAAAGACGAGCAGTGGCTTTCCACTCAGCTCGATCTGATCGAAGCACTCAAAATGATATGGTGCAACGACGAATATCAGGAGAGACACAAAGCGGTCGAACATTTGGAATACAACCACTGGCGTGAACCAAAAATGCTCGTGAAAATTCTCCTTCACTTCTTCTGCCACCATCCGAACAACATTGATCTGCTTTTTCAATTATTGAGGGCCCTTTGCGATCGCTTTATACCAGAATTTCAATTTTTGAAAGACTTTTTAGAAAACACCGTTGCTCAACATTACACGGTCGAGTGGAAACGATCTGCATTCTTCCTATTCGTCGAGCAATTCCCCATGCACGGAATGTCTCAAGAGTTGAAGGCTAAAGTGCTTCAGCTCGTATTGATTCCGTGCTTTGCCGTTAGCTTCGAAAGAGGCGAAACCAACAAGTTGATTGGGACATTACCAGCCCCATACACGGATAATCCGGAGAACATCGTATCCGTGTTTATAAACAAAGTAAGTTCAACAAACACTTTAAACGCTTTCGATTTACTAATTATTATTTTTTTTTAATTTAGTTAATTGATCCTGATAATCCATTCCCATTTGCGGATTGCGTGCGGATATCGCTTCTTCAATTCTCTTGTCTGCTCGTTGAACAAGCCAGTCCGCATATACACGATCACGATGCCCATAACAAGGCCCAAGGTTACAAGCTTAGACGTTTGATGACATTCGCTTGGCCTTGTTTATTAGGCAAGAATTGCGTGGACGCAGCAACCAGGTACCACGGGCATTTGCTACTTTCTCACATAATCGATAAGTATGCAATCCATCGCAAAATTGTTATACAAGGTTTGTTTTTGAAATTTATATCGTTTACTAGAAATTAAGATTATGTTTTTCTTTTTTTAGTTTTTTACAGTCTTCTCAAGGCACATGGCTTCGAAGCCCGTAATGTTGTTAGACAAGCTTTGGAAATTTTGACGCCTTCCATGCCTTTGCGCATGGAGGAAGGTAACAAGATGTTAACGCATTGGACTAAGAAAATAATAGTGGACGAAGGGCATTCTATGCAGCAGCTCTTCCACATTTTGCAATTGGTCGTGAAACATTATAAAGTTTACTATCCAGTCAGGCACAATTTAGTGCAGCACATGGTGAATTCCATCCAAAGACTTGGATTTAATCCAAGCGTTTCATTCGAGCATCGAAAACTTGCAGTGGAGCTCTGCGAGGTGATAATTAAGTGGGAACTGTACGGCATCCGTGAAGACATCGACGGCGAGGCCTCTACCAGTGATTCGAACGTGAAGAGAACTTCCGAAGAAGAGCAAATACAAAGGAAGAGGTTAGCTTTCCAATCTGGGGAAGCTTCTGGAAGTACTCCTACTCCACTGAAAGTGGAGCAGAAGACTAAACCAATCGATCGGGTGCACACGGACGCCGTATTAAATTACCTTTTAAGATTCGCGTGTCAAGTGAGCGATCCTCCAACGCAGACTCCAACCAATCCCACCGGAAGTACTCCGGGTGAAATTCTTTCTAGGCGATGCGTCGCTTTGTTGAAGATGGCCCTCAAACCTGACGTTTGGCCTCAGCCAATAGATCTGAAATTAGGATTTTTCGATAAGATCTTGCAGAGCGCCGATCAGCTGAGTCCAAATATTGGAAGTATTTGCACAGCTTTAGAACTGCTGACATTCCTGTTAATGGTATTGAAAAAGGAGCAGATTCTTGCGAATTTCAAACCTCTGCAAAGAGGTATCGGAGCGTGCATTACTTCTTCTAACAACAAAATTGTTCGTTACGTGCACACTTTATTGCACAAGCTCATGGGGTTGTTCCCCACCGAACGCACCAACACCAACATGTCGTGCAAATACGAAGAACTCGAGATACTTTACTCAACAGTTGGTAAAGTCATCTTCGAAGGGTTAACGAATTACGAGAAGAATCTTCAAGCGACCGTGTCTAGTTTGTACGGCACCTTAATGATCCTAAAAGCTGCCTGCTTGAACAACAACAGCTACATCGATCTGCTGATAACACCTTTTATGAAGGTTCTCAACAGGATAGCTAAGGAGCATTTGCAACCTACATTACCCGAAGCTAGTCCAAGTAATTTATTTTCTAGCAAGTGTACTTAAAATCAGATGTTTAATTTTTGTTTTCTAATTTGCAGATACAAGTGAAATGTTGATACTTAGTTTGGATTTGGTGAAGACTCGGGTGGTTGTTATGGGCGTTGAAATGCGAAAGACTTTCATTGGTTCGATTCTCGTTGGACTGATCGAAAAGACGCAGGATCTAAAGGTGATGAAAGCCATTGTGAAAATGCTCGAAGAATGGATGAAGAACAAGAATGTGATAACATTGTCGCAAGCGCCGAGTCTCCGAGAAAAGTCCATTCTTTTGGTGAAGTTGATGCAGTACGTAGAAAAGAGATTCGCCGATGACCAAGAGTTGAACGCGCAATTCTTGGAATTGATTAATTACGTATACACGTGAGTTTAACCTAAGATACATACAATTTGAATTTGTTTTCATTTATTTTGATTGGTTTCAGCGATGAACATTTGAAGCAAACTGAGCTTTCCGCTAAATTGGAACCCGCATTTCTCGCTGGATTACGCTGCAATCAGCCGCACATTCGAGCCAAATTCTTTAAAGTATTCGATGAATCGATGAGAAAACGACTGCACGACCGGTTGTTATATATCACGTCCACTCAAAACTGGGATGCTATCGGTCCCCACTATTGGATCAAACAGTGCATAGAGCTCTTGATCGCTACTGCCAATTCTGAGTCTAAGATACAGATGTCCCACGAGAGCAGCATCCTTCCAAACATCACTTCAGTAATTAATTTAGCTGAAGCGAAGAAGCGCGAGGAATTCTATGCCATCAAACAGGAGAATCCGGATGTGTTCGTTAAGTCCGAAGTCAAAGAGGAGGCTATGGACATGGATCTAACGAACGTGGATTCTAATCCGAACACTGACGAGAATTCAGTTAATTTTGGTAATGTAATGAAAATCATCAACAAGCAACACGAGTTCTTGGAATCCTGCAAGACAACTACGTCCCATAGATTCCTGATGGCTGCTGCGCAATTATGTCATATGGACACGCAGCTGGCAGAACAAGTTTGGCTTCAGATGTTCCCAAAGCTCTGGAGTATTCTGGATGAGAGACAGAGAAACGTATATAATCTATTAATTTCGATGATTGCATTATTTTACTATACTATTGATTTTCAGAGATTAACTCAAGATATATTACCGTTCATTACGTCCGGAACGCATATAGTGCAGAAGGATTGCCATCCCAGCGCAGTCAATACTTTCGTTGAAGCTTTGTCCAGGTGTAATCCAACGATACAAATATCACCGTAAGCTAGTTTAATATTGGTAATAAGCAATTTCTATACTTTTTAATTTGTTTTTAAGGCCACTTATGCAGTATATTGGAAAATCGCATAATTTGTGGCATCGGATGGCCTTGGGTTTGGAGCAGATGGCTTTCGATCAAAACGTAACGACGAAGTCCATCAATACGTACGAATTGGAAAACGGTGAAAATCCGAAGAAGGAAATTTACGATTGCCTTGGACAATTGTACGCTCAATTATGCGAAGAAGATTTGTGGGCTGGACTGTGGCAACGTCACGCCTACTACAAAGAAACTAGCATAGCCATAATGTATGAACAGCATGGATTGTTCGAACAAGCCCAAACCGCCTACGAGAATGCTATGCTTAAACATAAGCAAGACAATAATACTAACGGCCCTCCGCCCATGTACACGCAGAGAGAGGTTTTACTATGGACTGATCATTGGATTAGGTACGATGTAACATTGGATAATCTCTGTGACTTATTTGTTGTTTCGTTTCAGATGTGCCAAAGAATTGAAGCAATGGGACATCTTATCTGAATATAGTAAGGCCGGCGTGTACGATCCGTATTTGATGTTGGAGAGCGCCTGGCGGATACCCAATTGGGAGCAAACTAAAGAAGCTCTGAGCAACGTTGAGTATAATTGTCCCAAAGAACTGCCGTGGAAAGTCACTCTGTATGGAGGGTATTTATTGATATGCCATCCAGAAGAAAGGAACTTAAAGTTGGCAGAGCGATACGTGGAGACTGCTAGCTCGATGTGTTTGCAAGAGTGGAGACGGTTACCTTATATAGTAAGCCACATTCATCTGCAATACCTTCAAGCTGCGCAACAGGTAAATCATTGTAAATATTTGTTTAGCGGTTACTATTTTCGTTTATAATGTCAATTAGATTATGGAGTTGCAAGAGGCGTACAAGATTCGCAAAGGTCTTCAACAGGGTCATCAAAACTCGCTGCACGAGATGAAGGCTATAGTGAAAACATGGCGCAACCGATTGCCGGTGATCGCTGATGATCTTACCCACTGGAATGATATTTTCACGTGGAGGCAACACCACTACGAGTTCATCATTAAACATTACGAGAAGAATGATTCACAGGCTGCACACCATAACAATTCCATGTTGGGTGTGCACGCTTCGGCTAGGTCGATCATACACTTCGGAAAGATCGCAAGGAAACATAAGCTGACAAACGTGTGCCTGGAATCTCTGAATAGAATTTATTCTATTCCTTCGGTTCCTATCGTCGATTGTTTCCAAAAGATTAGGCAACAAATCAAATGTCTGCTGCAGCAGGCGTCCGTGAGCAACAAGAACGACTATATGGAAGGCTTGGAGGTGATCAACAAAGCCAACGTGGCAGCCTTCGGAAAAGAAATGAACGCAGAGTTCTACGCTCTCAAAGGATTGCTCTACCATCTAAGTGGTAAGTTATCAATGGAAACAAGCTTTTTTTTATATAGATGTAAATTATTGTGTTTGTTTATTAGGTAAATCCGATGAGGCGAATAAAGCTTTCTCCGCGGCTGTGCAGATGCAAGATACATGGGTCAAAGCTTGGGCACTGTACGGGGATTATCTAGAACACGTATTTACTCGTGATCCAAGGCAGATTAGCCTCGGTGTGAACTCCATCACGTGCTTCCTTCATGCTTGTCGTCATCAGAACGAGTCCAAGGCTAGGAAATACTTAGCCAAAGTTCTGTGGCTCCTCAGTTACGACGATGATAACAATAGGTAATGGAAACTATAATTATATAAACGAAAGGCAGAATATAATTTATTTTATATTTTTAATAGTTTGACGGATGCACTCGACAAATATTCGGTAGGTGTTCCACCACTTCTATGGTTACCTTGGACGCCGCAATTGTTGAATTGCTTGGTTCAATACGATGCAATTGTATTTTTGAACCTTCTGCTACAAGTAAGTTTTTTTCAATTGCAATGAATGTATATCCTCTACTTGACTGGTACGATGTTTCAGGTGGGAAAGATGTTCCCTCAGGCCGTTTATTTCCCAATACGTACCCTGTATCTTACATTGAGGACGGCTGCTGCTCGTAAGACGAATACCGCTCAGCAGACGTCTCAAGGCGATAACCATGACCAGAGTGGACAGGAAGGTGGTTCTAGTAGTACCACCATGGAGTCGACGATCAAGGCGACGCCACCCATGGTGAGGTGCTCGAAGATCATGAAGATGCAACGGGACATCCACACCACTGTTCTCACTAGCCTGGAGGGTATCGCGGATCAGATGGAATGGTTCCGAGAGAACTGGTACGAAGAGGTGGTGAGACAGCTGCGGCAAGGGTTGGCGAAGTGTTACGCTATAGCCTTTGAAAATCGCGAGTCCGTGAATGAAGCCAAGATCACGCCGCACATAGTGAACTTCATCAAGAAACTAGTTTCGACTTTCGGTATTGGCGTGGAGAACATCAACAGCTCGGCCAACGTTATATTCCATTCGGCTGCTTCTGAAAGCCTAGCGAGACGCGCGGAGGCCACCTACCAAGACCCCGTGTTCCAAGAGATGAAATCCGAATTCACCAAAGATTTCGACTTCTCGCAAACCAACGCTTTGCGCCTTCGCATCCTCATTTTCAAATTGAAAAAGTGGATCAAGATTTTGGAGAATAGATCCAAGATTCTCATACAGTAAGTCGTTTAATCCTTTTACTATTTGCAGTATCAAAAAAAAATTATTTTTTTTTTGGTTTATAGATCATTTTTGATTGAGGAAAAGTGTCGATTCCTCTCGAACTTTACGTTGAAGACTGCCGAAGTTGAATTGCCAGGGGAATTTTTGCTGCCCAAGCACACGCATTATTACGTGAAGATAACGCGATTCATGCCTAGAGTGGATATTGTGCAGAAACATAACACGGCCGCTCGAAGGTTATACATTCGCGGACACAACGGAAAGATTTATCCGTACCTCGTGGTGAACGATTCAGGACTGGCGGATGCGAGGCGTGAGGAGAGGGTACTGCAGCTGCTGAGGATGATGAACCATTATTTGGCCAGACAGAAGGAGTCCGCTCGAAGATTTCTGCATTTCACAGTACCCAGAGTGGTGGCTGTGTCGCAACAGATCAGACTGGTCGAGGATAACGTGGCTTCGATTTCGCTGCTCGACATCTTCAAGAAAGGTTGCGCTAAATTAAGTAAGTTTGAAGAAAAATACAGTTAGATCTTAACTTGTTATGTTAAATAATTTTCTTTTAGATATTGAACACGATGCGCCTATCAATTATTATTACGAGCGATTGGCTAATGTTCAAGGAAGGGGTCTGAAGACGACCAGCCATCAAGTGTACAGAGATATTCTGAAAGGCATTCAAACGAATATGGTGCCGAGAACGATGTTGCGGCAATGGGCTCTATCCACGTTCCCATCCGCAACGGATTATTGGCAATTTAGGAAAATGGTACAAAATTTTTGAAAAATTAATCTTCAAGCATCAACTTTACACATTTGTTGTTTCAGTTTACGCTGCAATTGGCTTTGGCGTGTTTTTCGGAGTACGTGCTGCACTTGACGAGGCTCAATCCGGACATGATGTACTTGCATCAGGACTCCGGTCTGGTTAACATCTCTTATTTCAAGTTCGATGTTAACGACAGCACCGGCGAACTGGACATCACCAGGCCCGTACAATTCCGGCTGACTCCCAACATCATCGAGTACGTGTCCAGCAATGGAATTAACGGACCCCTGACAGCAACTATGATAGCTGCAGCGAGATGCTTCGTCTATCCCAATTTCAAGGTATTTACAAAGATTTCCCAAATGTTTGACACAATAGTTTTGACGTTTTTTTTGTTCATTTTACAGGTCTCCTCTATCCTGAAACCCATCCTGAGGGACGAGATGGTTTTGTCGAGGCTGAAGAAGGCGGACGAATCTGACGCGAACAAGGAGGAGAAATTGACTGAGGGCGAGCAGATCATCAACATGGTGAACAAGGCGGTGACATCGATAAACAACCGGATGAACACGCTCGCCCATTTTGATGGCACGGAGAGCAAGGTGAACACGCTGGTGGCGGCAGCCAGCAGCCACGACAATCTCTGTCGGATGGATCCCGCCTGGCATCCGTGGTTTTAATAAGATTCCGACAACGGGTTCTCCATTACCATTATCGGATCATAGTTTTTCTTATTTTTATTATAACGACAGTATTTATATCTTAAGGAAGAAACCCACGACCGCCCCCCCAAACCCACCATGTATAGAACTAGTGATTTTTTTTCTTAAGAGATGAAATTTCTTTAGGTTTACTTTTCCGGCGACGGAATCGGCCGGAGAGGAATCATATATTTTTGTACATATAGCATTACGTTTTATTAGTTTTTTAAGATGAATTCCCGATGTCTGTTAACCATTACGAAATCGAGTAGGAAAGATATCGAAATAAAAAAAGAAACACATTTTTCTAAGATAAAAATAAAAACGTTGAGTAAATCTTTCAGACAATACCCTCGTAAAGCGTGGCAATTTTTTTAACGAATTATGAACAATGCAACTATTGTTTTAATTTTTTTCTGTTGTCAATCAAAAATCCCGTATATAAAGCAGAAGTATCGTCCAAAGGTTTATAATATCATTCGAACGTGTGAAGATGAAATCGTCCGCTGTATTCCTTTTCGCCGTCATCGCCGTAGCGTTTGCTGCCGCCGACGATTGCTCCAAGTGCGAGAACCTTTGGAAACCGGTGTGCGGAAGCGACGGTGAGACGTACGTGAACAATTGCTTCTTGACTTGCAAGAACGAAGAAGGTTTGACGGTCGCGAGTCGTGGACCTTGCGGAGGATACCCGGAAGGATGCGACCACTGCGATCAGATCTTCCAGTTGTGCTGCGGATCGGACGGCATCACCTACGGAAACATCTGCGAATTGGAATGCGCCGACAAGATCCGTCCAGTCTCCTTCGTCAAATGGGGCTGGTGTTGAACGTCAGTAAGCATCTCCAGTAAGTTTTCCTCTACGGAAACATTGATGATGATGATCAATAAATGAAAATTTTCCTTAACTTGAGTTCATTATTTACTTTATCACATGCGGAAATCACTGCTACTTAATTATATATCCTCTTCCTATAAAATTGTTTTCTAACTCATCAAAATAGCCTTGAAATGTTTGCAATTGAACGTCGTTGCTATGGCAAATCCAAATAAGAATTCAAAACAAGATGGCAAAGTTTAAGACGATTCAAATTAATCATTAGATAACAGCAATAATGCATTAATCAAGAACATTCTTTATTGAAGACTTTTTTTAATCTAGGTGAGTTCGAATTTTAATAACTGCTCGCTCCTCCAGCAATTAGTAAACAGACCAATTGGAACAGAGTTTAAATCTTTGAATTGGTCATTTTTCTTCAAATCAAGGTATAGATTTTAATGAAACTGAAAAATTATATTTATCCAAATTATTTACATTTACTAGTAAATATGATTTTTTTAAAATTAAGAACTTGAAGCCAACTTCGGTTGATTTACATCTCGTAAACTATAACCTCCAAAATTTTTCAATTTTCGTGCAGATATCCGCGGTGAATTGGATCAAGTTCTATTTTCTGTGCAAGATGCTGGCCGTGCAAGGAATGAACCAAACGGGAATCCCCGACAAGATGTGGCAACCGCCCTTCGTCGTCCTGGAAACTTCGTAAGTCTTAATTTTCAATTGAATCGACTTTCCTGATTACACCTGTTGTTGTTGTTGTTGTTTAGTATGGGAGAGATGACTGTAGAGCTGTATTGGAAGCACGCGCCGCAGACTTGCAGGAACTTTGCAGAGTTGGCCCGGAGGGGCTACTACAACAACACAGTCTTCCATCGGATCATCAGGGACTTTATGATACAGGGAGGAGATCCGACGGGGACAGGGAAAGGTGGTGTTTCCATATACGGGCAGACGTTCAAGGATGAGATTCACCCGGAGCTGAAGCACACGGGGGCTGGAGTGCTTTCGATGGCGA